AAAGTTCTTTGTAAAAACTGAATCGATTCGAAAAACCGTATCGTCTGAACGCGCCACTGACGACCGATTCGGTTATTTTACCGAATCCCGTATACGGTTTGCAGTGACAAGACCGAACGTTATGCGAACATGTCGTGTGAACACTCCCATATAAAATGTATTGCCACCGTAGAGCACGGCAGAAATACCGATTCGGCAAAACGACCGATCCGGCAAAAAAAAAAAACCGTATCGTGTGAACGAGCTCTAATTATAAAACGAAACTGTCTTCTTAGCGCTGACACAAGCGGCCTCGTGTCAGAATATTCGAGAAAGTATCGCGCGTCGCAAATCACCCGACGATCTAATTTTAAACCTCGTCTGCATTGTTTGCGAATCGTGTTACTTTGTCGCCGTCTCGATTTCAAACAGAGCGAGCATGAATTTATCATGCCGAAAAAATCGGACTGTAAAAACGAAATCGTCTCTCTGAAAAAGGAATTTCATAAGCGTGGAAAATTTACCGTGGTTAATCCGTGAAAACGAATTCGAATTGAAAGAAATCGATATAGAACTTAACGTACGAAATTGAAATCCAATCTTTCTGATTATATCATGAATTTAATTATCAGACGTAAGGTCGAGATCTCAATTTCATGAAGAAAATCCTTATCGAGTTTAATCTTTTAATTCTTATCCGACCTTCGACTTCGACCGACCTAATTAAATTAAATTGTTTAATTAAAGCATCGGTTCAATACTTTCGTTTTATCGACGATATTTCTCGTGAATAAGAATAAGGTTTTCGAAGAAGCGACAAAATTTATTGTGTGTGATCATCTAGACTAACTTAATCGTAACAAGCTTTACGTCAACTGTTAAGAGTAATCCGACTTCCAATTTTAATGATCACAGTTTCGAAAACAATCAGTAACGAAACGATAGTAAATTATCTGGCAAAGTCCTGGCTGAATTGATAATAAAAATTTTACGCTAATTTAAAACGTACTAATTAATTCAAGGAACAAAAATAACATAATTCATATAAAAAGGAATGAATACTAATTGTAAATCATCAATTTTAATAAAAATCAAGTACAAATTTGCAGGTATAACATAAAAATTTAATTGTTTGACATTTTAAACTCAGAGATTTGTAATTGAGTAGACTCAATAGAAGATCCACTGACTCAGCTTCAGAGGATTAATCGGAAGGTATCAGAAAAACAATCCAATTCAACCTGAGGAGCTGACGAAGATTAATTTGTCTACTTCCTAGATGAAATCGATTCCACGAGACGTGACGCATTTCAAGCGATTTTCGTGAAGGCGCGCAAAACAAGAAGATCCTCAGTCTTTTAGCAACGGCGTCACGAAAAATGATAATGAGACACACAGTGCTGTAGGTTAGTGAGAACAATAGCTCGTGTGCTTAATGAAGCGGAATGCATGCGGCTCGCGTGCTCAAGTAGTAAAAATATATTTTCGGCGCCGGACCGTGCGTCGAATAACGAGTCGGCGAATTCGTCCTCGACCGTGGAGGCAAAGTCGCTTCTCTGCCGTTCGCGTCGAACTCAACGGAATTTTAATTCTGCATCATGCGTCTCGGTTCGACATCGTTTTTCGCACGTATCGTTGCGTTGACGACAATATTCGCTGCTCGTCGATTTCGCGAATGTAAATAACCGCCGTCGCTCTTTGTAATCGCGTTGTACGATATTTAATATTTACATTGCAATATACCGAGAGTCTACCTAAGCAAAACAAATAGTCATTGTGATATCAAAGTGATGTCAAAAAGAATCCGAAATGATTATTAAAAGTCACTTTTTTCACTTTTTGATCAGTCACGATTCGTTTTTAAGTCATTTTGATATTTCGTAATCTATCGTTCTGCTTGCATAAGAAAAATAATTTTTATTTACAATATTAAGATTAGAACACAAAATCGCTTATATGAATAAATCAATTAAGTACGAGAAACATCAGTTACGATCAGAGTCAGACGTTGGAATAATACATCTATGTATATGTATTTCATTAACTTTTATCTCAGATACAACTGCGCGCCAATTATTTTCGGTCTTGCAACACAATCAAACTCAGATAATATGTTCTCAAATTAAATTATTATAATTTTATCTTCATATTTTAACGGATATGATTAAATGTTGATCGCGGATAAAGGCGCAGGGATTTGCTGCATTCAGCATAAGAAAAAGCAGTTTTGCAACTGTTGTAAAATTCTTTAAGATTGGTTCTTATTACGCTGTTTCCTCATTGCACTGTTAAATACCAAAGGAGTAATCCAATCTCTTGAGTTAAATAACATGTTCTTTTAATTTTCAGCTTCTATATTTAATTTTAACTTTTATATGTCAAAATGGTAGTTATGATAATTTTGGCTCTTCAAGATAAAAATGATTTTCGGAAGCATTTTTAGCAAGAAACACGAAAAAAATAGTAAAAAAGTTCTTCGACAAATAGGCAGGAAGAGGGGGAGGGGGGGGAGAGAGAGGGAAGCATAGAGTGCACCTCGTCTAAACTTTGCGTAAAAAGTCGGACCCTTTTAGGCGGGAGAGGGGGTAGGGTTGGACATTGCTTTGCGTGGAAAGTGGGACGTGCAGATTCCTTCCTTAGGCAGGAAAGGAGGTGGATGGCTCTCGCTTTGTAAAGTATATGCATAGCAGTATGTTCCAACACCAAAAAAAT